GGTTGGACGTCTAATGCGTCGGATTTCGAGTCGTGGCTGCGACAGACGCATTGTATCTAGAATGCGTGCTTCTTGAGAGATGGTGACGGCTAGATGCCTGTGTGCTGGCGCCGTGCAAGAAGTGCTTCCGCGTCTTTCTGGGCGTTTTCCGTGGTGTTGTTTGTGTAACCGCAGACGCAGAGAGCGTCTGTGGCGATGTTCCTTCATTCGGAAACGTCCTACTTCTTGAAATGACCCTTGGATCAAAGTCCCTAATTTTTTAAGTTGTTCAAGTCGTGAGTGTGCTTCCGTTGAAGTTTTCGTTCGTCGTCGTATTTTCTTGGTTTGGTGATGGCTCTGAGAAAATTGTGGTTGGTCATCGTCATTGAATAAGGAGACGCTGTCGGTATTGCCAGCATTCTTTACGAGTGGGATGCAAGCATGATTTCTGTCAAGAAAAGCAGTAGATACATTTTCGTTTTTATCGGCGAGACTCGCATTGAATGGTGACTCCGTAATGTTTCCACTTTCGGTTGGTCCGGTTCCTGAGAATGACATCGCCGCAAACATCGCTTGACGTGTTTCCGATTCCGTAGGTTCGTTTCTTTGCGGGAGAATTGAGCCAAGCGTTCCTGAAGTACAATCGCTTTCGGAATGGCAGTGGCTTGACAAGGTATTTGGCCAATATTTCAGGTGGTGAGTTGCGTATGTGGCGATATCTTGAGGGGTGCGATGAGAGTGACAAGCAACAGACGAGCTACTTGGCACAAAACCAGGTGGTGGCTTACGTAAGGAAGCTGAAGAGTCAAGTACATTCGGTGCTTGAATGTTGTCTTGATTTGTGAATTGTATGGAAGAGTTTAGCGTTGGTGATATTTGTGTACATGGGAAACCAGGTGGAAGGTTCGGCCTTGTAAAAAGACGGCTAGGATGTCTTTCTATGAGCAGATGACTGACTTTGCCTGACGGGAATCGTAAACTTCTGCTCTGTGCTCGAACGCGTGAAGGCTGCTTATGACTGCGATGACTGAGATCGAATGCACTGAGAGCGTGTGTTCTAATCGAATCTTCATTGAAGTCTTGAAACCAGACGATCATTTCTTCTTTTTTTTTTGCCAAGACTCGTCGTTGTCGAATATGTGGGTGAGGTAAAATTTATTTGCCTCACCGGTGACGTAGTCGCTGAAGTTCGTAACCATCTCCCGTTCCGACCAAGATGCAGCGGTAGCGTGGAACTCGAACAGGTCGAACCAGTCCTGTACAGGTCCATCGTCCGCTGCTCCGGTGTACTTGGGGATGGGAAGGTCGTCTGATGCTGCTGTCATGATGCTTGATGGTCTTGGTGGTCCGCGTTCGGTCACTGCGTCTCGCTGAGGTCTTCGATGATGATGGCCGGGCGATGAAGTGGTTGCGAGGTCTTCATCAGGTCGACTTGTGTGATGCTACGATGAATGGGTGACGTGGCCCGGCTCATACTCCATGTTTATTCTATTCTGCACTTCTTCCTTCTCGGCTTCTACCAACCATCGCTACCTTCATACGTCACACACACACACACACACACACACACACGCACACACACACTATATATATATATGTGTGTGTGTGTGTGTGTGTGTGTGTGTGCGTGCGTGCGTGCGTGCGTGTGTGTGTGTGTGTGTGTGTGTGTGCGTGTGTGTGTGTGTGTGTGTGTGCGTGCGTGTGTGTGTGTGTGTGTGTGTGTGCGTGTGTGCGTGTGTGTGTGTGTGTGTGTGTGTGTGTGTGTGTGTGTGTGTGTGTGTGTGGTGTGTGTGTGTGTGTGTGTGTGTGTGTGTGTGTGTTTGTGTGTGTGTGTGTGTGTGTGTGAACCTGCCAGCAGGGCGGCAGCCAACGGGTGTTTATCGATGAGGCTAATGCTGTGCGCGACAACAAGCCTATTATGGTCACATTTTCTGCATTTAGCGTTAGGAAGAAGCATTCATGAACGTCACATTTCCTCGACGGCGAATTAAAAATGCAGCATGTTCGCGAACCTCTTGGATGGCTTGATAAGAGCCACGACCAAAAGTAAATAATTTTTCGGAACCTCGTCTTATCGCCCCCTCACCGTATCTAAGTAAGCCATGATTCTAGAGAGTCATCCCAATAAGGTCTCCGGTGGTGTGTTCACACACGTCTATATATATATATAGACGTGTGTGAACACGTCTATATATATATATATATATATTAGTTAGAGCATCGAACGCGTTATTCGGAGGTCGTAGGTTCGATTCCTGCTTGGTGATTTTTCATCCACTTTTCTTTCTTCTTATTTACATTCCATTGGTTCTAATAACTTCCCCTGTACATTCCTTGGCATTACTGGCATATATATATATATATATATATATATATATATATATATATATATATATATATATATATATGTGTGTGTGTGTGTGTGTGTGGGCTAGTGGTGCGAAGCCTGACGTAAGACTGTCTTTCAGTTTCTTGTATCTCTACTTTTTAATCTATTCATTCAATCAATCAATCATTTTATTCCCTTTTGATTAGGTGGAGTTCAGGACTAAAAGCTCATGAGCTTGATGAGGTCCTGGCCCCGTTCACAAGTTGACAAAGCAGCAGGAATGGCAGACAATCATGCACAACAAATATGAAATGAATATTATAGGTATAACATCAGAAAAAGTAATACAAGAAGTTTATTAAAACAGTGCTAAGATAAAAAGGAAATAGTTCAAATGTATGGTCATGAAGTGGCATGACCATACATTTCTATTTGTTTCCTTCT